TGCTGGTCTTCTGACCCTGCAGCACAGGCTTCTGCGGTTTAGCCCACAGCGCCACCATTAAATAATTACAATTAAATAATTACCAGAGAAATCATGGCCTAACAGGAGCGTACGGACAGAGACATGCTCCCTAGTATGAGACTATGGCTGAAATCCTATTTCACAGCTCACTATGCACAACAGAAAGGATGTCATCATCATCATCAGCAAATTGCTGCTGATTTTAAGGCTTCTTTGGTGATTTCACATGCATGCGACTCATGCACAATGTGATGAAGTCAGATGCATCCTGTCAAAAGAAGCCTATAGTCAGTGGCAATTTGCCACTGCTACTGATTAGACATGGGGCTTTGTATTCATATCCAGGGGGACAGAAATACAAAATTAGGTACCACAGATGCCATTCCTGCCCCTCCCCAGAACCAGCCTGGTCCACTCACCAGGCTCCTTGCAGCACACACATTTGATGGCAGCATCATGACACCAGTTACCAACATTGTCCCACTGGCACTCTTCCTCCTCTCCCCTCAGCTGACTGCTCAGTATCTTAGCAGGAAGACTCATCTTCCCACCTCCTCCCTCAAGCAGTCAGTGTCAGGGTTTGGTAGAAAAGACACCAGGACCCAGTCCAGAGCAAGACCACAGGAACAAGTTAGAAACAACCCCACAGCCTGAGCAGGGACCAACCAGCTAAGGTTTTGAGTTGAAACAGCAGCCGTGTAGAAGGATGACGTGAATCATGGTCAGACAGTCCTGGAGTCAAAGTCAGGAGGAACAATGCAGTAGGGTCCAGGGGTGCAAGGAGAAGCAGGACAGGAACAACAGGGTAAGCAGGCAAGGCAAGAACAATTAGGTTGGCAGACAAGGCAGGAATAACACAACAGGGCCAGGTACCTTCATTGTTGAGGCAAAGGTCTGTAGGGAAATCTGTTCTCATATAGCCCAGTCCTCAGATTCCATAGGTGGCACTCTTGAGGAGCTGAACAGCAGCTGCAGGGAAACGGCCCAGTCCTGCAATCTCTAGAGTAGTTCTCTCCAGAGGGATGGGGTTGATCCTGCATGCACTAATGCACTGGGGCCATGCTGGAACCATGTTGCATGGTTCCAGCATGGCCCCAGTCCTAACAGTTGGATGTGGGGGGAGACAGGGCAGCACCTGCGGACTACATCTGCAATTGGCACAATGTCTCCACCATTGGACACTCATGCTGTATGGAGCCCCATGAGTGGAACAGGCTGGTTTCCGGGGATGGGAATGGACCACCATGGCACTTGTGGTTCCTAACGTGATATTCATATACTTGGGTTATGAATACGAAGCTCCCATGTCTATTGTAATCTAGTTCCCATTGTACAGAGTTGCACAACTGGATTTCAGTCCTTGTTTGTCAGGAGGCAACAGGACAGAAAATATGAAAAAGGCACCAAAAAGAATGAGGATGAAATGGCCAAATAATATGGTGGTCATTCATTTGCAGGCTTGGATATAGTAATTTGTCTCCTGTCTTTGACGAGTTACTTAAACCTAGTCTAGTAGTACTTTAAAAGCTACATGATATCATCCTTGCACAGGGATTTCAGCACAGGCTACAAACTGACAGCTGGAGAAGACAAAGAGGGTGGTAAAAAGTATCATACACATGATTGACTGGGAAGAAATACAGACCTTGAGGCAAATCCTGAAGAAATGGTATTGTAGATCAGCCTAGAATAACCTCAGTACAAAGTATAATGGCATTTTATAGAAACAAGAGAGGCAGCAGTTGGTTGGTCTGTCGGTGAGAAGGGGATGCAACAGCAAATGAACCAGAAAGAAAACAAAATGAGAAACCCAGTTTGTCTTTGTGGTTCTCTCTCTGTGTGTTTCTCTGTTTCAGAAAGCATACACTAAGATTGCAGTCCTGGCCTTATCTGAGAGCAAGACCAGCTGAACACAATGGGTGTTACATCTGAGAAGGGACACATAGGCTTGCGCTGTCAACCTATCGCAGTTACTGGTGATCCTTCCCTTGCCCGTTATGGTCATTTTGTATGCCAACTGACCTGTACATAGCATAAGAAAAGTTCCAGTGAACTTACCACTATCACACTGCTTCTGTTTCGTCTGTCCACCAAAATAAGAGAAAACACAGTGCTCATCTAAGTAACCAAACAACTACTGTAGACTAGCTAAATATGAATTCTTAACTGTACCTATATATTCTTACAACATTATATCACTTTAAATATTCAATCATTACAAAGTCTATTCAGATCCAACAATTAAATCCATTGGGAAGCTAAGAAATCTTGATTGAGCATGTGTAGTTCGTGCTCTAGAACTGGGTTTCTCAAACTGGGGTCACTGAATGTTATTGGACTGCAATTCCCAGAAGCCTTCACCACTTGCTATACTAGTCAGGATTAGAGAGGGGGACAAATAAAAAAAGATGATTCATTTTGATCCATTATTCATCAAGGTTAACAGATCAACTAATATGAATATACGAATATTTTTTCACAAATTGACCCGTCAATGGCTATAACACTGGCCCCCAACTACCTAGAGACACCAAATTTGCAGGAAGGATTCCACAGATGCTTTCCCACAGGCCCTAAACATTTGGTGAACATTGAGTCATGGACCCCTGAGTTATATAGTCACAAAGAGAACCCTCAGGAAAGCTCCCCCCAGGTACTTAGAGACTCCAGAATCACAATGGAGCTTCCTATGTCTTTCCCCAACACGCCTGCCAACTTTGATGAAGATTGGATATCAGAAATCCAAGATATTCATCCACAAATTGGATATCCCCAGGAGAGTTTACCACACAGCCCAGGAGCCCATTCTGCCTACCGGCCACCGATCAGCTGATCAGAAGCCAATAGGCAGCCACCTCCACAAACAGCCAGCCACCCCAACAGCCTACCCCCATGTCCCCTTCCTTTCCCTACCTTAGCCCCCACCCCACTCCCACCAACACCCCCTTACCTTAATAGCTTAAGGCAGGCTAAAAGAATACAGGCTGCCCTTTGCAAAGATGGCAGCTGCAGGCCCCCTACCCTAAATGAAGCTGCAGCCACCATCTTTGCAAAGGGCAGCCAGTCTCCATTTTTATATGCATGGCTGCAAGGCCAGAAGACCTCAGCAGCAGCGATTAAGGTAAGAGGGTGTCAGTGTCATGGCATGGGGCCTAAGGTAGGGAAAGGAAGGGGTGGGGGGTAGGCTGTGGTATTGGGTGGTTGTGTGGGGTGGTGGCTGCCTTTCTGCCACAGATCAGCTGATTGGTGGCCAGTAGGCAGAATTGTGTGTTTTGTTTTGTTTTAATACGAAGGATGAATAAAGATGGATAAATATTCATCCCTTCATATTCGTGGAGTCTCTGGAACCCACAAATATGGATCGATGAATATTTAACAAATTGCCTATATTTGTCAGAAAAAGCAATATATTTTTATATTCGTCCCCATCTCTACTCAGGATTTCTGGGAGCTGCAGTCCAAGAACATCTGGGGACCCAAGTTTGAGAATCACTGCTCTAGAAAATTGGATCAAAATTTTAAGTCCCATCAGTTTCTTTATGGTAGAATTTCCTTGTGAAAGTTTCAGTTCCTTTGTTGATACTCCAACAGGTCCCACCTATGACCTGTTAACGTACAGTGGTGCCTCACTTGACGGTGTTAATTCGTTCCAGCTAAATCGCTGTACAGCGAAAACATCGTCAAACAAAATAAAAAAGCCCATTGAAACGCATTAAAACCAAGTTAATGAGTTCCAATGGGCTGAAAATTCACCGTCCAGCGAAGATCCTCCATAGGGGCGGCCATTTTCCATGCCTGTGCAGTGAGGAATCCGTCCCTAAGCATAGCGGGGGGGGCATTTTCTTCAGCCGGTGGCCATTTTGAAACCCAACGATCAGCTGTTTTTGATCGTCGTAAAGCGAAAATCGGTTCCCGAAACAGGGAACCGATCATTGCTAAGCAAAATTCCCCCATTTAGACCATCATTTTGTGATCGCAATTGCGATCGCAAAAACCTCATCGTAAAGCGATTTCCTCGTTAAGCAAGGCAATCGTTAAGTGGGGCACGACTGTATCAGCAAAATATCAACAAAGGAACTGAAGCTGTTTTGCAAGGAAATTCTGCCATAAAGAAACCTATGGGACTTAAAATCCTGATCTGAGTCTTCTAGAGCAGTGGTCTCCAACCTTGGGCCTCCAGTTGTTCTTGAACTACAACTCCCAGAAGCCTTCACCATCACCTCTGCTGGCCAGGATTTCTGGGAGTTGAAGTCCAAGAACATCTAGAGGCCCAAGGTTGGGGACCACTGTTCTAGAGCATGAGCTACACATACTTAAGCAGATCTCTGGATTTCCCGATGGATTTAGTTGTTGGACCTGAATGGACTTCGTAATCACTGAATATTTAAAGTGATATCGTGTTGTAAGAATATATAGTTATTGCTAAGAAATCATACATGCCAGTCTGCACAAGTTGTTTGTTCTGTTTCATCTGCAGTTTATGACCATTATCATCTGTAGGGGTTCCTCTAACCAACTACTGTACTATCTCCCATATACCATTAATTCCCAATAATCTCCTGTCAGTATGGAAATTATAGTGGAGTAAATCTAAAGAACACCTGGTTGGGAAAGGGTGCTGTAGAGTTTCACCTTGCCTCAGATTCCTCCTTCAGAATATCTTTCCTTTGGGACAAGAGTGTAGAAATTGAATATAGTTATGTTTTTCCCCTTTCTCTCTCTCTCTGACTGCTTGGAATGACAAGGGGGTGGAGTATGGGAAACAGAAAAATAATACAACATACAATGAATATTTATATTAAAGCTACATAAATGAGGGGTGAAGGAAGGGTTTAATTTCATAATCCCAATGACAGAGAAAAGCAAATTATGGACTATGTTGTGTGAGACTCTTGCTTTTTCATATCTTAGATATTGTAATGAGAGATTCTGTGCTTTAAAAGTTATAATTAGTTTATTTCACAATTAAGGCATCTCATGCTTGGTGTCTGAAGAGGTCTAATCAGCCATCCCCATGATCTTGGTTTTCATGAGCATCTCAGAAGGCAACTGGAGAAAACAACAAAATCCAAACAGAAAAGAGGCAAGAGATATAGACCCTTTTCTTGATCCCACTGCTTATCTCTTAGAACATCCATTCTCAATGGGGGCCACATGGCTTCCTGCCCCCCCAACATTTGAAAGGGACCACAGACTGGAAACAATTCTTCACACACCACCTTGCAAGGTTCATTTTGTGAGTTATTCAGTTCCAGTTCAGCCTCTATTTTTTCATATTGTGTTTATGAGTGTGGTCCGAAAAAGCTGAGAATGTTTTTTGTAGAATATATGTTGATTTCACAGTACCTTTTGCTCACCCCTTTGGGTACCCTTTGTGTTCTCTCAGCAACTCTTGGCTAACGTTGGCCCATTTTCCTAGGGGGTTCCACCCAGCATCACCTATGAAGAAAAGGTAAAGCTGCAATTATTCTGTGCACAATTTCTTCTCTCACTGGTGCTTTGTATCTAGCACATCAGAAATCAACCATTGTTGCCTTGTGCATTCTGTTACTTCCAGGTATACTGCCTCTGAACATGGAGGTTGCATTCTATAGCTAAACAATAGCCATGACCATTGACAATTTTTTTGGATCACCAATTATAAGTCTATTCTTATTTTTATAACCTTTTAAGCTAGCAGCTAAGAATGTTTTATACTACTAACAGTTGTTAATATTTCAGAATGGTTGGCTAATTACTCATTTAAATGAGCTGCATAGTGGGGGAAATTCTCTCTATATTCTAAGGCGGTCAGCTCCCATCATCGCTCACCATTGGTTATGCTGGCTAAGGTTGATAGCACTTCCAGTCAACCGTATCTGGAGGGTTGCAGCAGCCCATCTCTGCTATTTTTGAAGGTTGTGCTAGTAGTCTTTTGATTTCTCATGAGGAAACCAATACAAATGACTTAGTTCAGAAAAATGGTCCTTGTTTCAAGAGAGACAGCTAGTCCTAGTTGCAGACCAACTAGCTTAGAAACACAGCCAGAGTCAATTCTGAGTGGAAAATGCCCTCTCACACATTCAGCTCACACTTGTGGCAGAAAGTGTTCAGATGTTTGAAAACAAAGTTTAGGGGCTTACTCCTAAAAGCAGTACAAAAATGATCATCATTTTCCACAGCTGCTTGAAGTGCCTCACAGCAGCTCTAACTAGGCCATAATTTCCTCTCATACTGAGTGGGTTGTACAAGTGGCATTACAGTGTTGCAGGCAGAAGACTGGCTATTGCTATAGAATTTGTTGCATTAAATGGGGGGGCGGACCTTATTTCCATGCTTTCTTAATATCTTTATGACCGATGTTAACAATATTTTATTGACATTTAATCCTGAAGTTTTGTGCCAAATGTTCTGGACTACATTTTTGCATGCAACTCTTTTTCTGTTTCTGTATGAAGCAAAAGAAAAAGGAAGAGGAGACTAGGATTCTAAGCTTTATCATGAGGGACTGAATACTTCTTCACTGCACTTCTCTTTGAGCACAGGGTATCATTTTTAAAAATCACTATAAATGTAATAATAGCCTAGTGGAAAGTATCAGTTTCCATTCTGCCCTACAGACACATTAGGGGGGGAAGGCTTGAACTTGAAACAGATCATATGTGGTTTCAAAATGGATTCTTCAAACATTTTATGCCTTTCTGTCTTCTCTGAGGGATGAATGAAATCTACAAATGCTCATGACTGGGTAGGATTGTTTGAGAACAGCTGCAGGGACATTTGCCAACTCTGATTTGATGTTCAGAAAGCTGAAATACCAGTGGGCCTGATGCACATTAGAATTTATTTTCATTCTTGCTGCAACAGAAAATGTTGTGAAATCTATAAAACACAGTCTGGCTTTCTTGGTCATCTTCCCGCCTGCTATACCGAGAGCTGAGCAGGCAAATGCCACCTCCTTTGTGGCTTGTTTGACCTTAATGTAGCTATATTCTATGAATAATTTCCAACTCCCTTCCCAATATTTCTGCTAGAAATGTTACAGAAGTATGTGCTTGCAAATAGGTTTAAATCTGTTTATGAGCAAAATACCTGGTTTCCTTGAAAGCAGAACATATCCCTGATTTAAGACACCGCATCCCAACATCTCATACTCTTTGCTTCTATTCTTTATCTCTTTCCTTCCCTACTCTCCGGCTGCAGTCACACCAGGCAAATGTTCCCCTGTTCTAAGGAAACATTTCATACCTTTGTTGTACTGAATCTGGGCCATGTGATATACAGTGGTGCCTTGCTTGACGATGTTAATTCATTCCAGCGAAATCGCTGTAGAGCGAAAACATCATCAATCGAAATAAAAAAAACCACTGAAACGTATTAAAACCCGGTTAATGCGTTCCAATGGGCTGAAAACTCGCCGTCCAGCGAGGCTCCTCCATAGGGCCGGTCATTTTCCATGCCTGTGCAGCAAGGAATCCTTCCCTAAGCACAGTGGGGGGGCATTTTCTTCATCCGATGGCCATTTTGAAACCTGACGATCAGCTGTTTTTGATCATCGTAAAGCGAAAATTGGCTCCCGAAGCAGGGAACCGATCATTGCTAAGTGAAATTCCCCCGTTTAGACCATCATTTTGCAATCGCAAAAACCTCATCGTAAAGTGATTTCCTCGTTAACTAAGGCAATCGTTAAGTGGGGCACGACTGTATATAAAGGAGAAACATTTCAATGAGTTTCAATGTTAACAATCATTTTCTGCTTTTTAAATACTTATGACTGGTTACACAGTGGTGCCTCACCACACTACAAACAGTCCTGCTTCTGGGGATGACACTGGATTATTCATGTAGATATTGGTTGGGATATATACCTGGACAGAAAGGGAGACAATGGGACTTCTAGTCTATCCTCAAGAAAGGAAGAAACTTGGTTTCCAGATGGCAGTGGTACACAGTTCCTTTCCAATCCCCTTACTGCAAGAAAGCCTTTTATGGGAGATATTGCAAAGTAACATTTCTGAAGAAAAGGTGTCTTTAACCATATCCAAAGTACCCCCGGCGTTCCCCTTATTATATTAAATAAGTCATGCATTATTCATGTTTTATGCTGATGTAGTTGAGAGGTGGGGCCACTAGAAATATTTAAAAGGTGGAGCCAGAGAAGGGGAGGAGAGTTCAGTTGGAGTGAGTGAGAGAGAGAGAGAGAGAGAGAGAGAGAGAGAGAGAGAGAGATTGGAATCTGAGAAGTGATTAATCTGAGGAGAGAATGGTAACCTGTAAGATAATATAGAAGATTGTTACTGATGCTTGATGAACCTGAAGAAGATAGGTTGTTGTGGGTTTTTCAGGCGGAAGGAGGAGCCAATGATCATCAGAGGGACCCCTGAGTGCCAACAGACATGTGTCCAGCTGAAGGAGGCAGTAATGACCAGACCAGTCCATTCCACACCTTACTACAACGGGAAGGTGAAAGACTTGGACTCTGCAAACTTGGACTTTGCAAAAGAGACTCAGATCATGCCTTAAAAGCCAAATGACTGATGGGGGGGAATAAACAAAATTAGTAATGTATAATAAACATTCTGTTGGTAAATAGTGATGAAAAATTGAATATTAATGGACAGAAACGTGAAGGATGCAAGGACTTTTAAAATAAACTGGAATGGACTATTGATTTACTGGTTAATTATCTATGTAAAAGTTTCCTGATTGTGATATATTTCTGTAAGGTTGAAAATGTCAAATGTAGCAAATGATAAATTAAAGTATATTGTTGACTTGTATTGGAATGTTTAGTTTAAAAAGTATTGTGATTGATATAGTAAATGTGGTATTGCTTACAGAATTGTGCCAGATGGTAAGTGAGTTTCATGCAATGATGCATGTTTGTTTGGGAAGGAAAATGTGTTTCCCCTCCCAAACAAACATATTTAAGGGGGGAGGTATGTGGCGTCAGTTGATAAAGAAATCAACTGGTGGCAGCGTGTGGAAAGGTGGTTATTGTTTTTTGCCTTCGTGAGCTCTCTGTTTTGGGGATACAAACAGGGGCCACAAAGGGGCACACGTCACAGTACCTTTGTCTCATTCCCTCAAAGTCATTAAAACATTAGAACATTCACTGCCACTCAGTCAATAAAGTAAATGCAGATTCTTTACAATTTTTCTCCTGCTCCCAGATTCCTTTCTGAATATTTGGGATTTATTATTTGTGATCTGTAGTAAATTCTGAATAGGTCTGAGGCACATCATTCGGATATGAAATTACATTCCTGAATTTCAAGTCCCAGAGCTTCTTAATCCATCCTACTGTTTTCAGAGCATTTTACAAGAGAAGGAAGAAGCAAAAATCAGCCAAGACTCCAGTAAGACAAGGAGAGAGCTGTTTCTGCTGTTAGATGCACAAAGGAAGAAAATTTTTACCAATGAATTTCTGCTGCTAAATTTACAGGCTCCTGAAGCTATGTGAGTAAATGACCTCTCCTTGATTTGTAAGTTTATAAAATTGTTAGGGCTCACAGAGTACATCTCCCTGCAGGCATAGTGGTCTGTGTGTTCAAAGCAAGGAAGCTTCTATAGATACAAGGGGTGTATTTACTTCCCCACAAACAGCCAGAATAGAAAAAAATCATGTCCTAGCAACTTTTACATCTACAGTAAACCTAAATGTGATTAAGGTCTCAGAAATATCTTCAGGCAGAATGCTGTGATCAAAATTCTTCCCTAGTTCTAGACACACACACATATTTTTTTTTTGCATTGTATACATTCACAGTAGCAAAACACAAGACTAGGTGCAGAAACAAAAGGAAATGTAGAGACACATCTACACAATACCATTAGAAACTCTACCACCACCAGTCATGACTTTGCACATTGCCAATGTCTCAAATCCCTCAGCAACCCACATAAAACAACCAAGTCAGCAGCTTTCTGTTGCTTGAGATTTTAGGGGAGATGCTGTTATGATGTCACAAAGGCAGGACCTTTGTGGTGTCATAAGAAGTGTATCAAAAAGGCTCATGAATGGCAGCAGTGGCACTCTACTCCCTGTTGTGCTCCCAGACCCCAAGTACGTATGCCCAAAACCAGCTCCCCACTCCAGCTTCTGGCTTTTGAGTGCACCAATGATCAGGCAATCATAACAAACACAGAAATATCTTTACACTGAGCCAGTGAGTCCAGTTGCCAGCTGGGAGTGGAGAAGGGTGCCTAGGTTTTAAATCCACCTCATGCACAAAGATCAGTTTTTTTTCCCTCCTCCTATAATGCCCCTCATCTATAGCTGTCTCTCCCATTGTGGGAAAGCATAGGGATTCCTAAGGCATCGGCTGAGCCCTAAAAGTCAGACAGCCCACATACAAGGCCACAACCATGCAGCATCAGGCTGCAAACAGCCTTTCTGCTAGGTAGTGAGTCTGGGTCTGAGAGGGAAAGAAGTGCAACTATCCTAGAGCTAACTAAGATAATAGGTCAGTAGATAGGAAGACGGTCACAAACAGAAGCCAGTGAACAGTGTCTCCAGGACAAGGTTTTTCATCAGCTTACATCACTATGTACATGTCAGAAATGGAGGACTAGCTACAATAAAGTAGCAGTACTGAAAGGGAATTCTAAAATAACAGAAGGTTTTCATTCAGAACCTTATCTTGGAAGAATTTTTTTTTTAAAAAAAATGAATTGATTTGCCCTTAGATATTATTTACGTGGATTTCTCCTCCTGCAAAGGATTGGCCAGCTATTCTGAATCCTGCTGGCATCTTGTTGCTGTATTCTTCATTTCTGGCACAGACAAACCCAGCCAGTTGTTTTGTATCATGCCTAGTTATTTTTCATCAACTCCTCATTTAAAAGGCATTGCAAGTCAGTTTCCTCAATTAAAAGAGAAGGCATTGCTGTTTATTATTATTCTTTGTTATTTCACAGCAGGCTGATTATTTTTGCTCTCTGATTCCCCATTTCATTCCTAGATGGGCTAACTACAGTGCCTTGCTATTTTATAGTGTGCTGGGTCATTGATCATCATCCTCAGCTTGTTGTTTAAAGGACTGACCTAACTCCCAACTGCACTTCATCCCAGGCCCTAGTCAATTGCTGCTGCGGTGGCTGTTTTTCTCACAAATCTAATCTCAGTTTCACAAACCTGTTTCTTATTCAGGAAACCTATTCTCAACCATTGATGTGTGCTTCTGGCATCATTATTTTAAACAACTATTGTAAACAATATTTTGAGGGAGTGGGAGTGGAGGACTAGGTGATTTCACCTGATGGAAACACATGATGCTTTAGTACAGTGGTCCCCAACCTTGGGCCTCCAGATGTTCTTGGACTTCAGCTCCCAGAAGCCTTCACCACCACCTCTACTGGTCAGGATTTCTGGGAGTTGAAGTCTAAGAACATCTGGAGGCCCAAGGTTGGGGACCACTGCGTTAGTAGATTAAACCACAAGGAACAAGTGGCACAGAAGTGAATGACATCGAGCAGTAACGGCATCTCACCAATTTGGAACAATTTTATCCTAATTCAAATTTTTGGGATAATCTGTTTTCATGATATTATATCTCAATAATAAGCATCCTTGCCTTTTCTTTTTAAAAATTCCAAACTGGTCTAGGTAAAGGTAAAGGTTCCACTTGACATTTAGTCCAGTCACGTCCGACTCTAGGGCATGGTGCTCATTCCCGTTTCCAAGCCATAGAGCCAGCGTTTGTCTGAAGACACATGGCCAGCATGACTAGACATGGAACAGCGTTACCTTCTCACCGAGGTGGTACCTACTTATCTGCTCACATTTTTACATGCTTTCGAACTGCTAGGTTGGCAGGAATCAAATCTAGTCTACAAAATCAAATTCAAAAAAGATGTGGAAACACAAGTCCAAAGGGTTTCTGCAGTTCCAGGGCTGAGTTAGTTCTTCCATACAAACAAGAGAATGATCTAATTCTGCACAACTCACCTGAAAATACCAATAGGTTATAGTAGTTTTGATACTTCCTCACTGTAGATGAGAGCGAGTCGATATCATTGAAATAAAGGCTGATTATATTTTGTGTGGCTGTTTATATAATAATGTTAATCTTACGGGGTTGTTTATTATAACTGCATGGAAATAAATCATCTGAGGTAGAGGGAAGATCAATAGAACTGATTTAAGGAACAGAGAGTGAATCAGTCAAAATCCTACCAAAAATATCTCCCCCCAAAATAAGGCAAAGCAATGGCCCACAGACTGGAAACACTCAGTATGCATTCCAGTACCCAAGAAAGGAGATGCCAAGGAGTGCAGCAACTATAGGACCATTACTGTAATTTCCCATGCAGGAAAAGTGATGACCAAGGAATTGCAAGAAAGATTTTTACCTTATATGGAATGGCAAATATCTGCTGCTCAAGCTGGATTTCAAAAAGGAAAAAGCTTTTGAGATCACCTTGCTAATATCCACAGGCTACTGGAGTACACCAAAAAGTTTTAGAAGAAGATCAATCTATGTTTTAACAGCCACAGCAAAGCCTTGGCCGTGTAGACCATGAGAAGTTATGGGTTGTTCTGAAAGAAATTTGTGCCTCGGAACTTGATTATCCTGATGTGAAATTTCTATTGTGCACAATAAATTACTGTTAGGACAGAATCAAAAGAAACAGAATGGTTTCCCATAGGCAAAGACGTCAGACAAGGATTCAGTTTATCCTCTTATCTGTTCAATCTGTATGCAGAATGCCAGCCTAGATTCAGATGAAGGAGGAGTGAAAATTGGTGGAAGAAACACCAGTTATTTAAGGGATGCAAATGACACTTTCCTACTGCCAGAAAGCAGCAATAACTTGAAATGAGTTTTAATGAAACAAAAAGAAGAAATTGCCAAAACAGGATTGCAGTTAAACATCAAGAAGACAAAAATAATGAGTACAGAAGAACTACACAACTCTAATGCTGACAATGAAGAACTGAAATAAGAGATTTTGCATACCTTGATTGAACCACAAATTCAAATGAAGAGTGCAGCCAAGAAATCAGAAGACTGAGACTCGGAAGAGTAGCAATGAAGAAAATAAAAAGATCATCCAGTGAAAGGAGGTGTCACTGGAAATGAAGACCAAGTGATGATTTTAAAGTTACATTTTTTAAGTAAAACTATTTACTCCTCCATACAGAAAGAAAAAATCTTAAATGCCCCTAGATTTAAAATAGCTCATACAAATTTAAAAGACCAACCTTGCTTATCTTGAAAGGGAATGCTTGGTCTCATCCACTTTTTTTATTTGGAAAGAATCCAGGCTGCAAGGAGTGAAATATTCTCAAAAATGGCGTTTAAAAGTGAAAAGCAGCCATTTTTTTTATAATACTGGGTATGCATGGAACAGGTTTACCAGTTAGAGCATTCCAAAATATGAAACCTAACCCTTCCATCCTTCTGTAGTGGATGCTGTCCCATCTCTTGAGCATTGTCTGATTATGATAATGGAATTGATGGGGGCAAACAGACCAAAACTGAATCTGGACAAGATGGAGGTCCTCCTGTTGTCTGTGGTTTGGGGGGACTCCCTTATTTTGAGGAGGGCACTCTCTCCTCTAAGGATGAAATTCACCGCTTGTGTGTCCTTCTGGCCCAGCACTGTCAATGGATGCTCAGAAAGTGTCTGTGGTCTGGTCAGTCTACTTCCACTTTAGGTGGATTGCACAGCTGCAGCCTGTGGTCTGGTCAGTCTACTTCCACTTTACAGTAGGTGGATTGCACAGCTGCAGTCCTACCTTGACAGCAGGTCTCTCGCCATGTTGGTCAATACTTTGGTAGTCTCAAGAATAAATTAATATGTGGTTGTTCTTGGGCACGAGAGGCCAAAGGATCCATATAGCTGCGCTTGAGGACTTTCCATTCTTTCTAAAGCCACAATTTTATTTTACTGCTTCCAGTTAAGAATGTCTCATGGGGATGTTACCACTTAAGCTAAAAAGTATTCTGTGAAAGTCATTGATAAAACAATAATGTCATAAAAAATGAAAACTTATTCCCCATCCTGAAGGTGAATGAGTGACTCATCTTCGACCAGATACAACCTTTTCATTCCTCTGTGGCTCTCTAACATTAAAACCCTAATTTAATGTGCTTGTTCTCAGGTACTAAAATCAATGGCACATATTAGCAAAACCATTTAGGTAGAATTTTTTTTGAAAGAGATTAATAGGGAGAGCATGAAATCAGTAAAATACCTCTTTCTATACCTATGGGACCCAAGTAGGACTATGGCTTGAAGCTACTTTTTTCTAACTTGTTCTGTTTCTTTCTGCTTTGGTGACTGGCTTGGGAATAAAATATATGATAGCTGAAGTGAGAAATGAGCAAGCCAAATACAGCCACCAGATCTTAGGCAGCTTGTGATAAGCACCCCTGAGAATTTTAGGTTGAGGTACCCTCCTTTCCCTAGGCCATGAGACAGACCTGTACCAGCCATGTGCAGTGGCCTGGATGAACTTTTTGTTTATGTTGCTCAACTGGCCAGAGAGCACTGATAGCTGGATGCACTCAGTTTGATGATCACAATCTATGCAATCCTGCTATGTAAAACTGTTTCTTATTATGCTGGAATTCCATCTCTTTTAAGAGGTAAACTGGAGCTTTCATTTCCTAAATGTCAGGTTGACTAGGATTCAAGAAACCTGGGTTCAAATCCCAGCTCTGTCAAAGAAACCCACTAGGAAGGTGGAACTGATAAAACCACCCCTTTTACGATCACTGTAAGTCAAATTGGACATGACAGAACTTAACAGTGGTGGGGTTGCCATATTACTCGTTTAACTTGGTCTCTTCCTCCACCCTTGGATTCTACAGATGCCTCCCAACAACCATTTGGATTTTCATCTAATCTGAATTCCAAGTGTTCATTTTTTACAACATT